TTTCCATATTATATGTAATATGGATGCCGTCATTTCTAGAAGCGCAGTTATTTTCAAGAATTCATTTGAATGCCTTCCTGATTGAAGTTTTATCTGAAATTTGGTATGAGCAAACTAGACTTGATGAATAAGATGTTCAAAAAATTTCATCAAAAAATTCCACCGGGAACCACCTCAAATGATGACGGCTGGACAGAACTACCTAAATAAGGGTTTATTTAACCTTTTTTGCTTAGTACGTGGGCCTATTTGCACCTTTTCCCTTAATTAATTAATGAGCACAGCACATACGTGCATGCGTTTTAAGAAGTTGATAGGCAACTTAAAAGTGCACAATACATTTCAAACGGAGAATATGTATATGTGCAAAATTATTACCATAAACATGCACATGGTATGCATCCAAGTGCATCTATATACATATTTTACGTATGTAGTTTATATTTATCAATGCTCAAATACAGAATTTCACCATTAAAATTGCATGCCTATAGATAACTTTTGCACTTTTAACAGTTTTTTTTACAAACTATTGAATTTATATATGCTCAGTATGCTCCATTAAGAGTACGTGTCGCATACTACAATACGGAGTAAATTCATATGCACTTTTGTGTTTTGTTTGCACACTTTTAGTCCACGTTATTAGTCATTTATATAGACATGCTAATAGAAATTGCTTTATTTTATACTCTATTAGAAGTGCACTTTTATTGTAAAATGTGTGGAATGCAATTTTGGTTTTTGACTATGCACTTAATATATTTGGATTATTCAATAGTTGTTAAAAGCTGTGTTGTAAGACCCGAACCGGACCGGTCGGTCCGACCCAGAAACCGATCACCCGGCCATCGGTCCAGTCCGGTTGAGCATTGAACCGCAAATGGGTTAGAAACCGGATTAAACCAGCAACCCGCTGAGACCCAGTACGGACCCAGCCCGGGTCAAACTCGGAAAATAGCTCAAAGCCGAAAAATTCCGTTGGCTAGGGGAGTCGGACTCACGCCCCTCTGCTGCACTTGAGGTTTCCTAACCAATACGCTGCTATAGCTTCTTGGTAATATCACTTGCTTAGCCGTTATTATAACTTCTGAATCTGTAATATGTTAATTGCTTTAATTAATTAGTTTGTTAAATAATTAATTTATACTAAAAACGACGAAGTATAACATATACAATCCAATGTTATTCATATACTTCCTCAAGCCTCATTACGTAAGTCATCATCATTTTTTATTTTTTATTTTGTTATTGGAATTATGCTCACATTTATCATCAATTCATACACAAGTGTATTTTAAATTTTGTTAAACTCAATATATACTTTTGTTTTTTTACAGAAACTCAATATATACTTTAATAAAATATTTTTTGACATTACTTATATTTATTATCAATATTAAATTACATAGGGATACAAGTTTATATGCAATTGTGAAATTATATATCTTAATTCAGAAAATATGTATCAAATGTGCACAATTTTAGTTAGAGTAATAAAATATATTCATGACATTAACTAATAAAATATAAAAGTTCACATATAAAAAGTGCACAATATAGTTCATCATAGGTGGAAAATTTAATTACGCAAAAGAATATGCAATATGAAGAAGTATAAAATTACAGACAGAAGTGTAGAAATTTAATACGTAAAATAAAGAAACAAAAAAAAAAACAGTAATAGAGATTGATCTCATACAAGCAGATTGATCTCTATACACGTAATGGATAGAAAAGAGTTGGATGGAGTCGTGCAGCGAAAATTAAGGAAAGCAGATTTGTGATAAATCGTAAATGAAAAGTAAGAGTTTTAAAAACCCATAATACCCTTTACGGAAATCATATAAGAAAGTAAAACCAATTAAGGAAAGCAGATTTGTGATAAATCGTAAATGAAAAGTAAGAGTTTTAAAAACCCATAATACCCTTTACGGAAATCATATAAGAAAGTAAAACCAATTGTAATCTAACGGTTGTAAATCATTCTTATTTCTCTCCTAAGATGATTTTCTCACATGAACGTAAATATGTATGTATATATGATAAGTATTAATTCTAGAGAGAAGTGAGAGCTAGAGAGAGAAAGTGAGTAATTATATTTCTCAACCCCCTATAATTAGTCCCTTGGGGTCTATTTATAGGTAAAAATGTGGATTTGGGTCCCTAGCCTTGGGCTTAGGAGGTCCATTACAATAATCATGTCTTCTTTGGGCGAATAGGGCCACTACTGGGCTGAGTACAACACTTAGTAAATAAAACAGGGAAGTGCATTCTGCTTGGACGAAGTCCGGACGATGCGGTAAATGGACGATGCGGCCCCTGGGCTGTGGCCTAAGGGCCCCAGGTGACATCTTCTTCTTTAGACGTTGCGGGCCTCTAGCCGATGCGGGTGTCACACGGGTGCCTTGCTGGTGCCTTTTGGGCCGTTGAGTATGTGGGACATGGGGTCCAGGCCCATATACTCTATCAATATATATATAACACAAACTTTCAAGTATAATACAATTAATAAATAATAATTAATAAATATAATTTAGAGAAATTAAATATCACAACTATTTGAAAAACTTATGACAATAATATTACTCCATGTAATACAATTATAAAATATAATTATCTAAATAACTCATGAGGAAGAATCAAAGACTCAAATTTGAGAATGTAAGTTTGACTTCATTGCCAACTTTCAAAGTTCAAATTGTCTCGCCATTGTCGAATTACAATTAGCCTAGGTTGAATTGTTGACATACAGAGACCTAGTGTAAACATCAAAAGTTACTTCGTATTTTTGTTTAACGAGCATCGAATGTATACTCCCTAACACTTCGTATAGTCGTATTTTAAAATTTGTTGTTTAGGATGTTTTCTTTTGAACTATTTTCAATCCCAAACCAGACTAAAACAGATCAGATCACAAAATTTTAGTTCAAAATAAAAGATGACAATAAATATGGTCATGATTGAAAAAATAATGTCATTAATTATAATAAATAAAGTCATGTTGAATGCATAGTACTGCAATTATTTGGCAGTCATGACAAAAAGATGACAGTAAAATACTATCATCTTACTCTTATTTGATTAGAAAACAGAAGTTCTATTTTGAAATTCCAAACTTTATTTAGTCCTATTTTGTGAAATCTCCCTATATAAATAAGAATCTTAAATTGGATCGTCTAACTTGAGAAGGAGAAGAGTTAATATTGACAATGTTTGTAAGGTGTGCGAGGAAGATTCTGAAACGGAAGATCATTTATTCCGATATTGCAGAGTTGCAAAAGCGGTGTGGCAGCACCTGGGCATTCGTTTTATGCGACAAGGTGAATCTTTCAATGATTGGGTTCAAAGCTATTTTGATAACTTACAACAGGAAGATTTGGGTTGCTTTATCACTAATATGTGGAGTCTCTGGAAGTCACGCAACGACAAGGTTTGGAAGCATAAAACAGTAACATGGCAGCAAGTATTGGAGGTTGGGGTTGCTGTTCTTAGGAGTTGGAAGGCTGCACAAGGCGATACTACAGGAAGAATCAAAGTGACGGATGGGCCAACCGGCTAGAAGAAGCCGTCGGTGGGCACAATCAAAGTTAATGTGGATGTGGCCTTGGATTTGGGGCGGGGAAAACGAGCATGGGCTTGGGTGGCTAGAAATGAAGAGGGTTGCTTCTTGCAGGGCGGCTGCCAGACAGTTTCGGCGGCATGGACTGCAGGATTTCGGAAGCCATTGGTGTTCGGGAAACTTTAGCATGGATAAAAAGTCAGGGATGGCCTAGAATTAAATTGGAAACTGATTCTCAGTTGGTTGTCTCCGGTTTGATGGATAGAGTTGGTGAGTTGTATTTTGATACGATTATTGAAGATATTAAATTGGAAACTGATTTCGGAAGCCATTGGTGTTCGGGAAACTTTAGCATGGATAAAAAGTCAGGGATGGCCTAGAATTAAATTGGAAACTGATTCTCAGTTGGTTGTCTCCGGTTTGATGGATAGAGTTGATGAGTTGTATTTTGATACGATTATTGAAGATATTAAATTGGAAACTGATTTCGGAAGCCATTGGTGTTCGGGAAACTTTAGCATGGATAAAAAGTCAGGGATGGCCTAGAATTAAATTGGAAACTGATTCTCAGTTGGTTGTCTCCGGTTTGATGGATAGAGTTGGTGAGTTGTATTTTGATACGATTATTGAAGATATTAGACATATTCTTCGCAATGAAGCTAGTATTGATGTCATTCACTGCAAGAGGTCCGCGAATGGAGTAGCTCACAAATTGGCTAGGGCTGCACTTTCTATGACGGATGGTTATATACAGTTTTATTATCCACCTGATTATATTGTATCCCTTTTGGAAAAAGAAAAGTTGAATTAATAAAATGATTAGTTTTCCTTTCAAAAAAAAAAGGAAAAAGATAGAGAAATCTGCCTAAATAGAACTAAGAACATTTGTATATTCAATTAGTCAATAATCTCCTCCTACTAAAAAAATGCTCAATTGAGTACACAAACTATACAAAACAATCAATTCCTCCATTTTGAAGGTCACCATCCGATAATCAGGTCACCTTACCTTATGTGGCGCTTATTTGTTCACTCATCTGCTGAGTTGACACTTAGTAAAATCTACCTCGTTATTTTATTTCATTTTGTGTTTCTTTGTATAGTTTCTTTACTCAATTGAGTGTTTTTTAGTAGGAGGGTATAATTGACTAATTGAGTATACTACGAGGGTTTATTTGACAGTTTTTCCAAAATATGACTATCATATTTTTATTCCCAAAATAGGACTATTACGGTCATGTTTTGGCAGTACCTAATTTTAACCAGTATTTTTCAAATTTTGAAATAAAAAAATGATAATTCTATTTTAAAATTTTCAAACATTTTTATTTGTGTTTTAGAAATTTTCCCAAAAAGAAAACCTTGAAGTGACAAGAGGAGCGATATTTAGAAAAGGCCAGGCATTGTATATGGCAAAAAATCAATTCGGCCCATAAAATTTTCCTAAAAAGGAATATGCACCCGAGCGTGAGTCCGAATGTATCGAGACCCGCCGACCTTTAAGCTGCAACAAGGTACTTTAATTGCTTCCTAATTTCCTTCTCATTCCTTTGTCTCTGCGCTAATTTAAACATTTAATTCAATTTAAGAGATAACAAATAAACCGCCAGGAGTATAATGATGATTAAGTTTGTGGAAGATTTCGACAAGTTCCTGGTCAAGGCTATCGACGATCTTAATGACATGTTTGTCGTGTTTGACTACAACTTGGTATCGATCGAATTCCTGAGCCGTGTCTTGTCTTCTCTCCGGTCGTTTCACGGCGAGTTCACGTGCCTGCTGCCCAAACTCCGGCTGCCGGCGAGAGACAAATGGCTGGAAGCGTACATGGACGAGAGCTCCCGGCTGTGGGAAGCCGCCCGTTTGCTCAAAAAGGCCGTTTCGAATTTCGAGGACGGCGAAACTCTTGGCGATGATTTAGTTTCTTCCCTGCTTCTTCGTCATCCTGTTTTAGACCCAGAACGTTCGCTCCAGGTATAATTAATTTTTACTCTCACCTACACTAATGCACAATCATTAATACACTCCCTAATACAAAGTATATATTAGGGTTTTAACTTACGAGCCCTTTTGGTGGCCATTTTTTCTGATCAGACCTATTATTAGTCATTTTTCGACTGAATTGTGTAATACGAAGTACTTCGTAATAAGATAAAGTAATGTTGTAATTACTTTTCTTTTTCTGATTGTATTGGGCTGAAGTACGATAAAAGACCTTAGCTATTTTTCATATAATGTTTTCTTTATTTTATTAGTAGAATATATTTTAAATATAATATTTCAATAAATCAACATAATCAGCCACTTCATTCAAAATTTCATAAATTTCGGCAGAATCGACCGATTTTAGTATTATCAAACGGGTTCTTAAAATCCATGTAAAGATTCATCTAATATTGGACCAAACGAGTACTTACCAAATTGGTCAACTTCAATCACTCTTAATCTTTTATTTTATATACCAAATTTAAATTTTCTTGATTAGACTTTGTAGCGATTTTAATGCAATTTCTGAATATATAAATTTTATTTATTAAAAATAATGAGTGTGAAGGGGATCAAATTGCTTTATGGGACATATTTTTAATGCACACCATGTTTAATCATTACGATTTTTCTTTTCGATCTGCGTCAGATCAAGAGGAACATATTTGACTACAAGTGGACACTAGATGTAATCGAAAACGGGAACGAGATGTGGATAAGGACGAACCTGAAGAAACTGTCGTTGAGATTTACCATAAACGTGAGGGGAAGATCAAAATGTAATGGCTTTTATGAGATCCTCCATTACATGAAGAACGCCACCTCTTTGCTGTTGCGAATATTGGTCACCGGCTTAGTCTATTCCTGCCCCAAAACCATTAGATTGCTCCGCTGCTTAGACAGCGAAGCCGACCCGAGGCCGAGGGGGCTTATCGGCCCGTCTTTCATGGTTTCTGCAACAAGATTGAGGGAGAGGGTGGCACAGGACATAATGGGGCTATCTGGAATTGCCGTTCTTGAGTTCCAGCAGCTGAGAATGGCGGTGGAAAAGGTTGAAAGAGAAGTGGAGATGGACACGGATTCTGAAGTGATCAAAGTTGATGAAGACAAGGTTGAGAGGTTGAGAGATTGCTTTGTGACGTTGAAATGTGGGGTTGAAAGCATAGTTGAGCAACTGGATGACTTGTTTGATGAGATTATACAAGGGAGAAAGATGATTATGGACTTGTGCACTCGTGAGGAGGATTTAGAAGAAGAAGAATGAGAAATTATGGGGGTGTTTGGATCTGATTCTCAAAACTAATCCTGCTGGAGTGTTTGGGTGAAATTCCAGAAACACTTCTAATGCTCTAAATTACTCCCAGAATCAGTTTTTTAGAAGTTGGGGGGTACCAACTTCTGAAAACTGATTCTGATTCTGCTTCTGCTTTAAAAAAGAAGCAGAAGCAGAATCAGTTTCAAACTTCTGCTTTAAAAAAGAAGCAGAAGCAGTTCCAAACACCCCTATATAGGTCAAATGATAGGTAGATACAATTATATCATACCAAATCTAGCTCGTCAAATATTAACAAAACACATTCTTTTAAACAAGATTGTAATTCTTTTTCCTCAAAACTATAATCATTTTGTTGTGGGAAGTTTACATTTTGATTCATTTATTTAAGTTAATTGAGTAAGTGATATATTATTGAGGCATTTAGAAGAGATCACTCTAGAATTACATGAAAGTGAGATTATTCTGAGAAGACTACTGAACTGTGAGATTATCCTTGTCATTGTTTCCATTGTGTAAAGGTGAGATTATTCTGAGAAGACTTTTGAAAGTTGAGATTATTTTTGTCAATTTTTTCTTAATTAATTATATTAGGATATTAAGGATAGAAAATTAATGCCTAGTCATATTTATGAAGTATTTATATATTAATCCTATTTGTGAAATTATCTTTTCTTTTAAGTGCTTATTTAAGTGCTTCGAGGATAGGAGCGATCGAGTAGACTGGTAGTTTGACTAGTTTCCATGGGAATGGGGGATAAGCGTTTTTTTTTTTTGGGGGGGGGGGGGGGGGGATAAGCGAGTTATTTGGACCTTATTATGGTGTAATTATTTTTTTTATAAGAACTTAAGAAGCGCTCATTTTGGTTTTAAAAAGTGCTCATTTTGGAGGGTTTCTTGCTCCGCAGCAGTTGCTCCTTCCTAGTAGCTTAGCCCTCGCTATGGCTGGACTCGGGCCGGTTCGGGCCCGGTTCGGGCCTGGGCCCGGCCGGGCCTCGGGCCAGAAAACTAGGGCCCGGGCCCGAACCGCCGGTGGGCGGTTCCGGTTCCGGTTCCGGGCCAAACCGGGCCGGGCCGGGCCGGGCCGAACCGGCCCACTTAATTTTTTTTTTTTTTTTGGTCTCCTATTTAATCCCCTACCCCTCCCCCTCAACCCCAAACCATCCCAAACCACCTCAAATGGCCCAAAATACCTAATCCAACCTAAAACTTAAAAAAATTTCAAAAAAAAAAAAAAAAAAATTAAAATCCGGCCCGGACCGGGCCCGAACCGGCCGGGCCGGTTCACCAAAACCTGGGCCCGGGCCCGAACCGCCCAGCAGCCGGGCCGGGCCGAACCGAACCGGTGGACCCACCGGGCCCCGGGCCGGGCCGGGCCTAACAGTAACCGGGCCGGGCCGGTTCCGGGCCGGGCCGCCCGGCCCGAGTCCAGCACTAGCCCTCGCGTAGGGTTTTGTCTCTCTAGCGGCTTTGTTGTCGCGTAGGGTTTTCCTTCCACCAATTGTTTGTGCGGCTCTTCTTCTCCAGGCTTCTAGAGTGTTTTTGATTGTTGAATCTGGTTTTGGGATTCAGACGGTTGTCAGATTATCCATTGGATCTCGAAGCAGCGACAAGATTTTATCTTTATTTTTTGACCTCTTTTCTCGACTTGTGTAAGTCAATTTTAAAGGAGGCATGAGCGCGGCTGCAGCTTTTGGAAACGAATCCAAGGTTTAATAAGCGATAATCATGTCTTCTATGTATGATCTAGAGCAACTTTGTCCCATTCCTGCAATTGAGGAGGAGGTCGAAGGGTTAGTTTCTGGCGAATCAACATGGGTAGAGGGTGGTGGTGGTAGTGGAGGCGGAACGGGCAACGAGAAGACAGTGAGAGGTGAAGGGTTGAGCAAAGGGGAATACATAGAGGCGGTCCGCCCCCCTCCTGAACCGCCGCCTTGGAGCGATCGAGGTGCTAGGTTTTGGAAGATTTATCAGTTATTTAATTTTTTTATGGTTTTATTTCCACGTTATGTTTTACGTTGTTCTTATTTTTTGTTGATGTCTTTAATTTTAGGTCTACAATACTGATTGACAATTCTGCTAGACATTATGTCGTTAGAAGGATCTATTTGGCCATTAATTGTTGTGTCACACCCGCTTGATAGTTAGCAATTCGTATTGCTTTTACGGGGGTGATCGTCTCTGAGTCTAGCCGTATGGTTGATAGTGCTTGTTGGTTAGAGATAGTTGTTGTCAATGTTGATCTTTTTTAGGAGTACGTATATTATACAACCGGATGTACGGTGAGCACCGTACAGCTGGCACAGTAACAGGCCCAAGAAAAAAATAGCAAAATAATTTGGTGGCATTTTTGTAATTAATGTGAAAATCGCGGTTTCTGCTAAATGAGCATTAGTGTACTGTCAATGAGCAATAGTCCAATTTGAATGAGTATTAAGCGTCTAATAATGAGCATCGTGTTATTACAAGAAAGCTGAAATCACAACTAAAACACGGTGGCATTTTCGTAATTTCAGTGAAAATTGCGGTTTTCGTTATATGAGCATTAATACACTTTTAATGAACATCGGTCGTATTCTATGGAGCATTAAGAGTTAAATAATGAGCATTGTGATATCAACTTCATATATTGTAATTCACTTTCTTTTTCTTATTTTTTCTTTTATGCCTCACCGATTTTGGTGGTTTGCCTTCCGGGGTTATAAAAAAAATATCTATAATCAATTCTTATGAATTTCAATATGCGAATATAATATAATATGGTACTTTTGAAATATGCATTGTTATGACATTTTAAAAATGAGCACATCAGTACCAAATGAGCATATGTAACGTAAAAATGAGCATTGATATGAAAATCGTAAGTTTTGTTAGTTGAGCATCAAACCTCCTCTATTGAGTATTCAAAACATGCAATTGAGTATAATGATCCGTGCTCCCGTGTCTATAATCAAATCCTATGTGAGTCTAATATAATACGGAGTATGATACTTTTTAAATATGCTTTAATATGACATTTTCAAATGAGCATTTATCATTAACAAATGAGCATACATAACTTATAAAATGAGTATCAAAAACTTTCTTTTTTTAGGTGGCGGAAAGGATTTCTATAAATTTAAAAGGATTCAAATTAAGCAAATGAATTGGAAAGAAGAAGCATCCGTCGTCGAGGTATTACTCGGCGTCAATTGAGTATACATTTATATAGTGTGCTCAAGTATACATTTTTGTTTGCTCAATTCCTTTCAAGTTTTATACTCACTGAATTTAACATACGTAAAAAATAAAGAGCAACAATAAATCAGCCTAACCATAACATTTAATATGCAAATCTAATGTAATATGGTACTTTTGAAATATGAATTGTTATGACATTTTAAAAATGAGCATATCATGAGTATCAATCAAACATACTTTACTTAAAAATTGAGTATTGATATGAAAATCATAAGTGTTTTTTAGTTGAGCATCAAGACATTTTCATTGAGCATCAAACCTCTTCTATTGAGTATTAGAACATGAAATGATATCTTGGTTTGTGCTCCCATATCTATAATCAACTTCCATATGAAAATATAATGTATTGATATGACATTTTAAAATGAGCATAATTAATATCAGTATCAAATGAGCATACGTAACTTACATAATGAGCATTGATATGAAATCATAAACTTGGTTAGTTGAACATCAAGACATTTTCATTGAGCATAAAACTTCCTCTATTAAGTATTAAAAGCATGCAATAGAGTATCATGATCTTTGCCCTAGTGTATTATATGTAATCAACTCTTATGCGATTGTAATGTAATATGATATTTCGAAATATGCATTAATTTAACATTTTAAAATGAACATAAAACTTTTACCAGATGAGCATATGTAACTTACAAAATGAGCATCAAAAAATTAAAAAGCTCATTTGAACTCTCTAATATGTGCTCAAATATTCATTGTGTGTGTTCGTTTCTTTTAATTGTTATACTAATTCGAATATAACAAATATCGTATTAAAAATAGTTTATAGTCTTCATTTCTCGAATTACAAATATAATTGGGTTCTTTTTATAATGTTTACCCATGCATATTATTTAACACTACTCATTTTAGTATAAAACCACAATCATGATAGTAATTAACACACAATATTTAATAAAATAATACATATTCATTCTAAATTAATAATAGAAAAAATAAACATTAATATCTAAAATATTTTATAATACATAAGTTCAAAAAAAATTAAGTTCAAAAGTTGATTGAAAAAAAAATGGGACAATTAATAATATTTTGTATAACATTTTATATTATATATTTTCATAATAATAATTGAATATAAAATTAAATTGAAAGTTTGCTAAAGAAAAACACAAACAAATAAAGGAGAAGAAACAATAAAAATAAAAATAAAAACAAAGAAAGGAGAAGCCACGATAGAAACATAATCAAAGATAGGGGTGGGCAATTCGGTTTACGGTTCGGTTTTCTTCGGTTTCGATTCTGTTTCGGTTTATTCGGGTTGGGAGAATTTGTACCAAACTAAAACCATTTGTGTTTCGGTTTGGTTTCGGTTTGGTTTGAAGTTCGGTTTACCAAAGTAAAAAAATATTATGTTTAATTTAGTTTGATTTGATTCGTTTGCTTATGTTTATTATTTTATTTGATCAAGTTCTATATTTCAGAATTAGAAAATGAAAGTAGTAGTCCATCTCATCTTTTTTTAATTTATTGATTATTTAAATAAAATGTAAAAGGAAATAAAAGATAGAACAATAAATAATAAAATATTATAAATTGAAACTTATAACATCTTTTTTATCACTACAAAAAATAAGATAGTTGATTAGCATTTATAATATCACATAAAATATTTAAAAACCCTAAAAGAGTCGGTGGTACAAATGTTGTAATATTCAATTATTCACAATTTTATTCAAATGAATCATGTTAAAATATAAATGCAATTTGCTATTGTTATCGCCAAACATAATAAATACAAATATGTCGTATTAGCTAACTTTGTCATAATGAATGTATGAAATGTGTAAAAGTTAAAATGATACGAGTATATGCTTAAATATGTATTTTCATGTCCAAGTTATTTATTTATATCTTAAAAATGAAGAGTGAAGATAAATACAAAGTGTGTGTGTGTATGTTGTTCGGTGTTTGGTTCAATTTACGGTTTTTCCGTTTTAAACCAAACCAAACCAAAGTACCAAACCATTCGGTTTGAGCATATGTTTACCACACAGTTTACTTAAGTAAACCCAAACCAAACCATTCGGTTTGAGCATATGTTTACCAAACAGTTTACTTAAGTAAACCCAAACCAAACCAAATCAAACCACCAATTTTTATAATAT